CGCCCGGCAGGGTTTCATCATTTTGACCAGGCTAGTCTCAAACTCTTGACCTCAGCTGATGCGCCCGCCTTGGCTTCCCAAACTGCCGAGATTATAGGTGTGAGCCACTGTACCCGACCTCATTTTCTATAACAAAGCTAAGCTTGAACACTTGGTGTTCTTGAGGGAAGCATATTGGGCTTTAGTCTGTAGATCAAGTTTATACATATTTTAATTACGGTGGAGTTCCCATGTAGAGTGAAAAGCCAGGTACTTGCTGCTGCAGTCAGTCTCCCTGCAGAGGGTTAAGGCCCAGACTAACTGCAGGTTCTGCTTTTAGCATATAGAGCCTCTCCCTAGCTTTGGTTATGGAGACTTTGAGGTTTTCCAAACCTGACCAATTTAAGCCATAAGATCTGGTCAAAGGGATACCCTTCCCATTAAGGACTTGGTTTCTCATGAAGTTATATGTACAGTGCTTGCTGGCAATTAGATATATAGGTCTAACAGTACATGTCAGAACAATCTAAGTTGAGAAAACCCCTTCACTGCCCACCTTAACTGACCTCTAGGGTTCTTAACCCAGCAATCAAGTTTGCCTATCCTAAAGGTGTCAGATTTGATCATTTGATGTGTTCTGCAATTTTTGTTTTACTGTCTGTTTCCTTCTGTGTGAATTACCGCACCACCACTACTTGCACATCTCAGTCCTGTATGTTAGGTTACGTATTCCCTGAGTGATACCATTCAATGTTTTAATGTACTTGTGGCTCAGGCCTGAGCACAAGGTGGAAATAAACATCAAACATCCTTTCATTATCCCTACTACTTCCTTATTCCATTAGTTAACAAGATAGTTGTCTTACCACATCAAGTCATTAACTGCTTTTATTCATCCAAGTATTGAACTTTTTTCTTTGAAACAGAGTTTGGGTCTTGTTGCCCAGGCTGGAGTGCAATAGCACTACCTCCGCTCACTGCATCCTCTGCCTTCTGAGTTCAAACAGTTCTCCTGTCTCAGCCTCCCGAGTAGCTGGGGTTACAGGTGTGTGCCACCACACCCAGCTAATGTTTTGTGTTTTTAGTGGAGTAGGGATTTGCCATGTTGGCCAGGCTGGTTTCAAACAGACCTCAGGCAATCCGCCCACCTCGGCATCCCAAAACGCTAGGATTTCAGGCGTGAGACACTACGCCCAGCTCCATCTCTTTAAAAAAAAAAAAAAATTTCTCCGGTGCCCAGCATGGTTCCTGACATCTGGTATTAGAGTTCAGTACTTCGGTTGGGCCTCAGTAATCTCAGCACTTCGGGAGGCCAAGGCAGGCAGATTACCTGAGGCTAGTAGTTTGAGACCAGCCTGGCCAACATAGAGAAACCCCGTCTGTACTAAAAATACAAAAATTATATGGTCATGGTGGCGCATATCTGTAATCCCAGCTACTTGGGAGGCTGAGGCAGGAGAATTGCTTGAACCCAGGAAGCACAGTGAGCCGAGACCGTGCCACTGCACTCCAGCCTGGGAGACAGAATGAGAGACTGTCTCAAAAAAAAAAAATGGGTCCTGCTGTGGTGGCTCATACCTGTAATCCCAGCATTTTGGGAGGCCAAGGCCTAAAGAGTTTGAGACCAGCCTGGGCAATATGGGGGGGGCCTGACTCTACAAATAAAAGAAGCTGGGACGCCAGGCATGGTGGCTCACGCCTGTAATCCCAGCACTTTGGGAGGCTGAGGCAGGTGGATCACGAGGTCAGGAGATCGAGACCATCCTGGCTAACACAGTGAAACCCTGTCTCGACTAAAAATATAAAAAATTAGCTGGGCATAGTGGTGGGCACCTGTAGTCCCAGCTACTCAGGAGGCTGAGACGGAAGAATGGTGTGAACCTGGGACGCAGAGCTTGCAGTGAGCCGAGATCACGCCACTGCACTCCAGCCTGGGCGACAGCGAGACTGTCTCAAAAAGAAAAAAACTGGCCTCAAGCAATCCTCCCACCTCCATTTCCCAATGTGCTGGGGTTACAGGTGTGACCCACCATGCCCAACCGCTGGGAAGATAATTATGTGCCAAAGTAGACAATTTTCTCCCTCAACAGACCTTTTGAAAGGAAGACCAGGCCAGGCACCGTGGCTCACGCCTGTAATCCCAGCACTTTGGGAGGCCAAGGCGGGTGGATCAGCTGAGGTCAACCAACATGGTGAAACTCCATCTCTACTAATAACACAAAAAATTAGCCTGTAATCCCAGCTACTCGGGAGGTGGACATTGCAGTGAGCCGAGATCACACCATTGCACTCCAGCCTGGGCAAAAGAGCAAAACTCTGTCTAAAAAAAAGGGAAGGTGAGTCAGATGCCAAGTTGGTAACCTGTCATCAGCATGTGTAGTAAGATTTGACCTGGTCAGAAGGTCTCAAATGGCTACCCTGAGAAAGAAGTGGTTCTTGGAATAAAAGTAACCAGGAAAACCCATCATTTTTCTGGTGGTTGGAGGCTCATGGAAACCCTGAGGAAACTTACAAGCTGAGAGGCGGGAGTTTGCCTAGACCATGCTGAGAACTGAATTTGCTGTATATATCCATGCCTTACACAGTGAATAAGAAGATACTCGGGGCTGGGCACGGTGGCTTACACCTGTAATCCCAGCACTTTCGGAGGCCGAGGCAGGTGGATCACCTGAGTCCAGGAATTCAAGACCAGCCTAACCAACATGGTGAAACCTCATCTCTACTAACAATACAAAAATTAGCCAGGCATGGTGGCACGCGCCTGTAATCCCAGCTACTTAGGAGGTTTGAGGCAGGAGAATTGCTTGAACCTGGGAGGCAGAAGTTGCAGTGAGTTAAAATTGGCCCCATTGCATTCCAGCCTGGGCAACAGAGTGAGACTTCGTCTCAAAAAAAAAAAAAAAAAAAAGATACTCAGCCCAGCGTGGTGGCTCACTCCTGTAATTCTAACACTTTGGAAAGCTGAGGCAGGTGGATCATCACCTGAGGTCAGGAGTTTGAGACCACCCTGAACAACATGGTGAAACCCCATCTCTACTAAAAATACAAAAATTAGCTGGGCATAGTGGCATGCACCTGTAATCCCAACTACTTGGAAGGCTGAGGCACAAGAATCACTTGAACTCGGGAGGCGGAGGTTGCAGTGAGCTGAGATTGTGCCACTGCACTCTAGACTGGGTGACAGAGCAAGACTCCAGCTCAAAAAAAAAGAAAAAAAATATATACTCTGCTTCACAGGGTTGTGGGGATTAAATATGAAGTACTTAGAAGAGTGGTTAGCACAAGGTACATGCATGAACAGTTCTGTTAGCGTGTAAACACCCAGCAGGGATTTATCTAGCTTTTCACCAGTGTATCCCAGTATCTAGGCCAGAGCTTGGTTCAGAGAAGGCTCAGAAGAAATACCACAGTAACTGTGTGACAGATCCCCTTCTGAGCCCTTTAAATATTCTAGACTGGGCATGGTGGCTCACACCTCTAATCCCAACACCGGGGAGGCCAATGTAGGCAGATCACTTGAACCCAGGTGTTCGAGACCAGCCTGTGCAACATGGTGAAACTCTTGTCTATATTAAAAATAGAAAAATTACCCAGGCAGCCGGGCATGGTGGCTCACGCCTGTAATCCCAGCACTTTGGGAGCCCAAGGCGGGTGAATTACGAGGTCAGGAGTTCGAGACCAGCCTTGCCAACATGATGAAACCCCATTTTTGGGGGTGGGGATAAGGGACCATCTTTAAGAATTGCCTACCGCAAGTCTATAAAATATGTACAATTTAAAGACCAGAAATAAAAAGAACTCCAG